TACTTGCATATTCAGGTCTTAATTTTCATCTTATTTTGTCTTGAATTCTAATTCTGGAAAAACGGTTTGTTTGTTTTTTGGTCAGACTATATTTTATAGTCTTTGTGCGCCATCAAGGCAGTTCTAACTTAGGGCAACCCTTCTCAGTGATTTCTGGTATGAATGCTGAGAAGTGGTTTACCATTCCCTTCTCCTGGGGAACATCCTGGGGCTGTGCAGCTTGCTCATGACTACACCGACTGGCTCTTCTTCAGGGATGTCCAGTGGGGAATCAAGCTTCCAACCTTTGGTTTCACAGCCAGAAACCTAATTCGCTGAGCTATCCGCCAGCCTATACTATGTATGGCTTTTTCTTATATTCACAGAAGTTATAGCATGGTACTGAATTATTCTCCAAATAATTATATCTTAATATGCTTCTCCTCACCCCTTCAGTCACAACAAAAGTTCTCAAACTTAGTGGCATCACAACCATCTTTGAATTTTAAGGAAAACCCTGTATGTCCCCACTTTCCCTTACCATCATCCAGAAATAGTAGATGTAACAAATCAACAATTAACATAACATTTAAAAAACCAAATCTTAGGAAAGAAATATATCAAAATGAACATATATGGTTTCTCTTTTCACAAAAAAAGTAATAAAGTATAATTTATTAAAAAGAAATAATAGATTTAACAAATTTGATAGTCAATGCTGCATTTTACAAACTTGTGCCACCCTTCAAATTTCTTTATGTGCTCTTAGGGGGAAGTGGATCTCTTATTTAGGAACAATGGCATTGCAGTATTACAATTAAACATCAGCAGCAAAACACCATTTCGTTGCAAGTTTATTTTTCCATATTCTTCCGCTGAACTTCACACCACGATGGCATAAGTCAGACAGAATTTCTGAAGTCTCCAGACACCCTACCTTCAAACCAATTACATCAAAGTACTTGGACATCTGCCAGGTTTTTTCCCCATTCCTATGGTGCCATTTTTAAATTAGACTTATGCCATAACTTGCTGATCCAGCAAAAGCACATAAGGAATGGAAAAGTAGCGAACAGAGCCAGCTCTACTATTAGGCAGACTGAGATAGCCATCTAAGACAGGAGATCTCCTAGCAGTGGATTATTCTTGCATTTTAAGTGCCAGAGAGACGGAAAGAGGTGCTTGTGGGATTTGCTGCCAAATAGCTTGATTGGCATTGGGAATTATGTACCACCCCTTTTGCTGAACTTGGAAGGTGGGAAATATAAGAACATAAATGTGAACAACATGTTGATGGATATGGATACTGACAGCATTGAGTGCCTGGCTAAGGCTTTAACTGGGAGGCACCACAGTTGAGTGATAGAGCATATGTTTTGCATGTTGACGGTCTCATGTTCAGTCCCTGACATCTCCAGTTTAAAGGGTTATCTCTCTCCCATAACTTTTTTCAGATCAGTAAAAAAAAATTGTTATGATGTCCAAATTCAGAAGATGCTCCTGCGCTTTCAACATGTGCAGGGAAAGAAAGATTCCATCAGCTGTTTCTCTTGCCACAGAACAGGGTAATGGGAGAAAACTGACGAAATGTTCCTTTCAATAAATTAATCTCAAAGACAGAAGCAGGAATATTCCTCATAATAAGCCAGACTTAGAAAAGTTGTATTAAAGTTATTATGAATCCCAGAAACTCCCAGCCAGCCATGGAAATCATACTCCAAAAAGGTGATTTTTCTGCTAATAAAAAATGATTGGTAAGTACAAATCTGTAAATTAATCCTTCAGTTAACATTTGAGAAGACATTGTGGCAGTATCCATCTTCCTCTTAGTCTCAAATTATGCTCCTTAAACTATCAAATTTAACCCAATAAAGCTTATTTTGGGGGAGACTTAACAAGTCTCTTGTCAAGTCTTTTCCAAAATAACCCAAACATTTATTCCATTTTAGTAAATCACCTTAATCAAGTGACTGGAGACACAGATATTAAATGGAACCCACATTTCTGCAACATTTTGAACCTAAAGTTTTAGAAATCTATGGTTATCACAGCTTTTGGTGAGATAAACAATGTCAATTTTTAAAAAGGTGGGGCGTATCCATATTAAAAGCAGAGATCTGTATTAGGCCACCAGCTTGATGAAGAAAGCAATTTTTTGTTTAAATCAGTGAACAGGAATGTTGTCCTAAATTGTTATAAACCTTACTCTTACATGTTTGCATATTCTTCCTGCTGCTCCCCAAAAGAATGCTGTATTTTAATTTATCAAGGGGCTTATTAATAGAAGCAATTGTGTGCTTGCAATTTCACTGACTCCTGGTGAGGACATTCACTGCCCCACTCTCTGCCAGAATGAGATTTCAACAAAGGCGGCTAGAAGAAGCTTTAATTAAATGTCTGGTTTCAATGGGATTAACTGCCTGATTAATCCTACCTCTGTCTGCCTGTCAATCACGCCTGTCATTATAATTGTCAGCTATATGGCCACTAACTATGTGAAAACTCCATCTGGCTGCCCTTTACTTCAATGTATGGTTTTAAATTTATTTTATATGTGTCTGAAAGAAACCTGTCTCTCAGCCACTGGTGTATGTTAACTGCAATGTCACAAAGCAGGCATGGTTTATCTCCCTGCTATTTTACCAATTTGACCATACTCAGCTGTCTTACAGAGTGCAAAGCAACTTGCTCGTTTCTGAGCAAATGCATGCAGAAAGCTGTATCATTTCTGTACAGCCACACTAAGGACCCTCATAACTGAATTCAAAACGAGGTACTTAGCCATCTGTGACACAACTCTTAGGAATTTTCATATTTTTTTCACATTGCAGGCCTTTTTTTCATTTAGTCCCTGGATTATTTTCAGAGGATATTGTATCCAAAATTTTGTTCAAAGCAGCATTAATATATCATAAAAAGAACAATGGAATATTGGCAGAACTCTTCTTCAAACCCTTGTAAGTTTTACTCTGGGGGGACTTGCAGTGAGTCTACATTAAGTATGAAACCTTAGCAGATGAAGTCCTTTCTATTTAGCTCCAACATGCAACACATTTTTATTGTGTACCATGTTTAATTAATAATTTGTCCTTTGTTTTAAAATAAAACAATCTCCATCAGATTCAGCCTTTAGGGAAAAAAGAAGTGTGCAGTTAAGAAGCTGAGCAATAGCACATTGATGTACACGCAGGGGACTAACTAACCCAGCCATATTTAGAACACTTAACCAATGGTGCTGTGAGCCTATTGAGTATAGGCAATGCCAGGTTATGAAAGATGCTTGTCAGGGCTTCCCTGTCACCGACAGGCACATGGTGTCCAAATTTAGTTTGGTGCACTTGACTTCTGTTCTTTTGATCCTTCCCATAACTCTTGCGGAGTGATTCATCCTCATTAGGTTGCAGTCCACTTGGGTGGATCCACTGGAGTCTTATCCTATGGCATGAAAATTCATTGGTCACCAAAATCTGGTAGTCTTGGGAAAATAAAGGGCAACATCTCCTGGCCTTGTTGATTTCCTGTTTGGAGAGCATAAAGATTTGTAGGGACACCCCATTCTCCTGCTCCTTTTTCATGCTTATGCCTCAGGGCAGAGTGGGTGTGAGAGAGTGCTGTTTGCCCTGGGTCTCAAAATTGGCAGTTACTGCTCGGCAGCGCACTAGTCCTCTCAAGCAGTTAATAAGACTGTTTTGAGCTTCTTTCCTTACATGCTTCCCAACCATGCCACCTATGCTTTTCCAGTTGATTTAATAGATAGGGTTTTAGGTATGTCGCACTAGAGGAACATGGGGAAAATAAAATGAGGTCAGATCAGGAAAAAAAGGAAGGAAAGGTAACAGCTGCAAGATGGTCTGCATGGGACCGTGTTCCCCAGTGGTCATTCCCTCGCCATCAGTGTCGTCCATACCCATTTTCCTACTCAGCCTCTCTCTCTCCAAGAGGGTCATTTTCTCATTGCTCATGTGAGGGCCTTTGGCAAGGCTTGACTGCCAGCTCCTTGCTGGGGCAGAAATATAAGGAGCGGATGGCAGTGACTCAAAGGTATGGGGGTCATGGGCTAGGAGGCCGAGGGATGATTCCAGATCCAGGGTAAAACAACGTCAGATCTCCCAAAGATCCCTTTTTACCGTCAGCTGGATGTCAGTCAGTCTCACTGTGTTCAGCAGGGTTTACTCCTCAGAAAGCAGGGGGAGGCTTTTGCCCGGCAGCCTGGCATAAGGCAATTAAGATCGTGCTGCTCCCGGAGGATTTACCCCATGCAGAGCCCTGGGATTCCCTTCACATGTCCGTCTTTCCTCCGGGCATGTGCAGAAATCCCTTCAACGCTGAGTCAAGCGTCTCGAGGAAGGTACCCTAGGGAGCGAAGTGTCCCGTTGAGAGGGCACCAGCCAACGAGAGCGCGTCCTCGGTTGTTTTCCTTCTTTGCAGCGCGATGTGTCCGGGCGACTCCGCCCGCTGGGTGCCAAGCTTTTGCTGGCGGTTCCTTTGTTTCCTCCCCCAAGTTCAATGGCAAGAGGACGAGGCGGTGGGGCGGCGGGTACCTCTCGCGCTCTCGCCCTCCTTCGGGCGGGGACGGCCACCGAGAGGAGGCGCCGGCGGGTAACCAAAGGC